ATACCCTTGGCGACCTGCGTGGCCTTCAGCTTCTCGAAGCGGTTGCTCTGGGAGCCGCACCACTGGTAGATCTCCTGCAGAAGAGGAGCAGATGCAAGGAAGGTCAATAAAGTGGAACCAGAATAAAGAATACCCATAATGCTTTGCTTCTATTTGCTCAACACAACATGTTGGCAATGCACTGTATGTCTACTCTCAGTCCAGTAATTATATTTAATAATGATTTGCTTCAGAGTGACTCACAGCCCCGAGGTCCAGGATGAAGCAGTCTCCCTGGTTGAAGCTGTCCCAGCTGACCGCCACCTCGGTTGCCCGGACGACACGGCGGCCTTTGACCTGGAGCACCCGCTGCATGACCATCTCGTTCGTGACCACGTGCTTGAACCCAGAAGCCGCGCCCCCTTTCTGAAAGGTAAGAGATGTATTTTCAAGAGAAAATACCAGCCTTTTAGAAAAGAGGACCATTAACATAATACCAAAGTAATATTAATGATACAGTAATGGCAAATTAAAAAATATATCAAAACAATATATATATATAGGTGTAAACCATGTGTAAAAGGTAAAGTGACAATATTTTGTTTATAGAATAATTATCTAAAATTATTACAATTAATAAAAGTTCATACTACCTTAACAAAACAAATAAAAATGTAAGAATTGTTTATAGATTAACAAAATAATGGTATCAGAGAAGAGTGTATCCTACACGTTCGTAGGTTTAAAACAAAAGCAAAAACTATCAACATGACGTTACCATGTATTTGAGTCCAGACTTGAAGTAGCCAAGAAAGGTTTTGGACTCGTGTCCCTGCACCTCGCGGTACTGGATGGGCGACCCCTTCAGGGCGTCGTCCATTTGGACCGTAAAGATGGCCGCCGAGCCGCTCTCATCCTGGGTGCAGGAGTCACCTGCACCAGAGGAACAACAGATGTTTTCTATATTAACCATGTTATCTCAGCACTCATACTGTAACTCTACCCATAGTCTAATTTTGTGTTTGATGAGGTCCTTCTCCAAATGAGTCACATATTTATACATGCAACAAAGGTGTTTGCGTTCAGCAGCATCGGGGTGGGTTACATCACATCCTGTTTGTTGATAAAAGCTTTGTAATGATCAGTCCAATTGACAAAAAAGACATGAAATCAATATAAAAAAGGCACGACTCAGCTACTTTAGTACCCCAACACATTTGAGTACTTCTTCAACCTCTGAGTATTTGTGTGTGTGTGCTAATGGTCTAGAAAAAAAGCCTTGTACTGAAATGAAAACATCATGTGCACTACATTAGGTTTGAGATCGTTGACAAAGTGTTTGCCATGTAAGCCTTTCAAGTACAATCACAGCGCACATCTGTTCCAGGAAATAAGGCCTGTCACAGTTTCAGATGCTGATCAAATCAAGCAGGATGAGACGCAGCAGAAACATAAAACACAACAGCAGCAGTGAACACAGATCTGCCTGTTGACGTACAGTGTCATCTGTTATTTACAAATGTAAGGACAGAAGGCTTTTCGCTTCTCATCCACAGAGCAGAACAAATGGTCTGATAGGGAATTTAGAAATGCTTAAATAATTGAGTTCATTTTTTCTTTCAATGTGTTGTATCTGTAGAAACGTTTTCTACGGATATCCTAAGGGGACAAGAGAAAACAATAAGCTAATGTCCACTCCTGGATAATAAATGAACATATTTTAAAAGTGGATATTCCCTTCTGCTTATTTCTCTCTGATCATAATATCTGTCTTCCTGTTCTCACCCAGCCAGAAGTGCAGGTCGTACTGCAGAGTCCCGGAGCGTTGCTTGATGGTGTTGAGGAGGAGGTAGGCGTCTCCGGTGTAAAATCCCCCGTACAGCTTTTCGGGAACGGGAACCAGGTTGAAGTTCTCCACCCTCCACACCTGGAGGCCCGCATTCTTCCCGGCGCGATCGAACTCTGGGTGCTCTACCATGTTGCCTGCTGGGAAATCACACCGCTCAGATTTAGCTTCTACACTCTCCTCAACATGCAGCGGTCAAATACTGCAGAGATAAGAGCCATAGAAAATAACCTTTTATAAGTAAGACTAGAAAAAACCCTATGTGTGAGATGTCTGTTTTGGAAAGCCACTCCCTTTTAAGGCTGAGGTGTTGCAATGGATACAACGATAAAGTTTATGGTTATAGTTAGATATTAATGGTACAGCAGGGTGAGTCACCGACCAGGGTGTTTCCTCATGTGAGCAGGAAGAGGAAATTCTGACTCAGGCGTAGTCATAACTGGCAAAAGAAATCTGTGTGTGAAAATATATGTATACAGTATATTGGAAAATATGTATACAACTCGACATTTCTGCTCTGTTTTTACTTCAAGCATGCAATCACAAAACAGTACATGGGGTTGGAGATAAGAAAAATAAATCTGCTATCACCGTAATCTTGATTTCGTTTTTTTATCCATGTCTCTAAGGTCTCATAGTATATACAGTAAAGCCCTAATAGACTCTTCAGCAGTCCGACAGCTGTCTCATCCCAGTCCGAACACCTCCTGAATCCATGCACACACATACCATACACTTCAGTCGGGAGTTGAGCAGGAACCAGAACCACAGTTAATGAATGAACAACGATGTAATCAGCTGATTCTGTTGGACATGTTTCACAAATTCAAAGGACCGATTATATTTAAGTTTCTGCTTTTGATGCTGCACAGTCTTAAATTGTTTATGTATATATTTTCTTAAAGGGGTCCTATTATTCTTTATGGGGTTTTCCCTCTCCTGTAGTGTGTTACAGGTTTTTGTGCATGTAATTGGTCTGTAAAGGCTAAAATCACAAAGTCACTATGTAACACGCACGTTTCTATTGGTTAGTGCTTCACAACAAACTGTACGTGAAGCTAAGGGGCGGTACATCTCAAAGCGGTTGACCTATCACAACCGACCCAGACAGCTAACCAATCAGAGCAGCCTGGACTCTGGTTTCAGACAGAGGGTTAAAAGAGGTGCTGCAGCACAGGCAGTATGAGAAAAACAAAGAGCTTTTTGAACATTAAAGTATGGAGACATGTCACAGTAGAGGAACAAAATACAAATAAGAACCTGAAAATGAGCAGAATAGGCCCCTTTTATTAAAAACGGCATCCCAAAGGAAGTTTCAGTGGTTTGGCAAAGTTTTAAAAATGTACATGTACTTATTAGATTACTCTTTAACGATACAATAATTTCATTCTTTAACAATAAACTCTAACTTACAAAGTGCCTTTAACTTGCAGAGAGAGCGCAAACGCCTCTCTGAATCGAGCTCTGTTCTCAATTTAGAGCCTGACCTCTCTGAAAAGGACTCCTTTGAGCTTTTATGGTGCGTTTCTACTTTATCTTGCTAATTTAATCCAATTATGTTCTTATACGACATTCAAGGCCTCAGTGTCCACCTTAAAAACCTGTCCAGGTGCAGATACTTACCAAAAGAATAAAACTGGAGGTCATGTAGTTCAAAATGAACACAGAATGTAGTTTTCCACAGGAACGCTGCCCCTCAATTTGCACGACTAACAAGAATCTCCCATTCTTTTAGGCGGCAGTCTGCCCACAAGCACGGCAGGAATCTGATCGTGATCCTGGAAGTGGAAAGTGGATCCAAATTCAAGTAACAAGACCAACAATTTTGGGGTTCCTATTTCCCCTGTTTCTGCTCTCCTTTTATGTAACAGCCAGACGCTCTGAGCAGAACTTTGAAGGAATGTTTCAGCATGGAAAAGTAAAGTGGATGATTGTGGAAAAGAACCATTTTCAGTTAACTTTAGAGGTTTTTATCCTGGTGTCAGCACATGTGGCTTATTTGGATATATCTGACATTGTAAGGAAAGGAAGGAATATATTCAGGCGTCTGATAATGAAACATTTGACTAATTCCTTTATAAAAATTGCAATTATGTAGACAACAACACAGGAATAGTAGCCAAAACGGCGGGTTAACCTGGAGTCATACCAGGTCAGGAGCCGTCTGAACTTCCATGACACTGAGCGCCTGTGTTGTGAGACTTCTGGGCGATTTCACTGGGAACATTATTGACGGAAGATGTGACATTTTCCTACAGTGGCTCTAAAGTAATTTAATGTCTTATGAAAATTAGATTCCACCAATATTCCGTCAAAATAGGGTACTGTGGTGGACAGATGCACAAACAGACTCCTTCTTTCAGTCCTTCAACCGCTGTCTCCAAAAGGTCTTTCGCATTATTTGAGCGTACACAAAAATCTGTTGGTTTCCAAGTCTTTCATAGTGTTTAAAAGTAGGCATGTTTCTCCTTTTCAACCAAAAATGTGGGAATGGCTTTAGGGCAATAATATCTCAAACCCACCCTTGAAAACGGTTGGATAATTGTAAGGAGGTAACCATAACAGACAAGAGACCACATTTCACAAACTGTATTGAAAACCCCAATGTATATGGACATTACAAAAGCACTGTATTTATGTCAAATAATGCTCCTAACCTGAATAATATCGGCATATCCCGACATATTAGACCATGCATTGCAGTTTTTTTTTACAAGAGACGTGTTTATCAAAGAGCAATCAAAGAAAGTTCCTGTGGATGTCTTCCATCCAGTGATTGCACAAAGTGGACTGATATTTAATAAGATAAAAAGTCTGTCATTTAGTGGAACTGATTCATGATATCTCGGCACAGATGTCTGCTACAAGGCGCCCAGTTATCGTTATTAAGTTAGAGGAACAGCTCAAGTTTGTAGAAAAATACTTTTATCCCCAGATAGTCCCATGAGAAGATTGATATCACTAATTTGTTGGTTACCAAAGAGCTACAACGAGGAACTAATTAGCCTAGCTTAGCATACAAAACAAAAGAGCAGAAATAGGACACACTGCTACTTCCTAAAAGCAGCAGGGAACAAAACAGAAGAATACAATAACATTTTATGATTTATGTTTCCAAAAAACTGGTAATAAATAAACAATTTCTGCTTTAGATGATATACAGCCATTCATTAACTTAAAGTGACACACCCAGAGATATGAAAACAGCTTGTGGGCAAAATGTGAGCCGAGCTTGGGGATCGTCATTATTACAGGCATGAAGTTTAATTGGATACCAAGTCCCTGAAGGCAACATATCAGAATCAGAAACGGGTTTATTGCCAGGTAGGTTCACACATACGAGGAATTTGACTTTATGTCGTGGTGCATACATAAAATATAAAACAAAGAATTTCCATATAAAACAAAAAATCGAATATAAAACAAAAAATCTTTAAGGACACTGTAATAAAATATAGTTAAATAGCAATACAAATAAATCAGTAATTTACAGCAAAATAGAATGTAATGAATTATAGAATATAAAATATGAAATAAGAATATGTGCAGTAAGCATTATTGAACATTGTGTGCATTAATGTAATGCATTTAGAGATTACGTTGTGGCTGAGGTAAGTGTCAGTGGGGGGGCCGGGCCTTGTTTAAGAGGCCGGTAGCTGAGGGGAAGAAACTAAGGCATTAGGGGATATTAAAGGCTACTGGTTTACATTTCATGACAAATGTACCCATTCATGTCTCTTACTTCAACAGCGGCCAACACATACTCATTTTACCGAAATGATACCTTCTTCTTCTGAAGGCTTTTTAGTTTCTATAGAAGTTTGACTGCCTTTGACTGTGATCTTCCCCTGTAACGGAGAGAAAGGTTTCATCTGTCGCCTCACATCAGAGCTGTTTTCTCCCACACTTTGATACTGCATGTCACATCAGAAGGGATACTGAGCGTCTGATTCACCTCAGACTTTTGAAAACTCAAAGCCAGTATTACAAAATGTGATAACAGCTGTGACAAAAGGTGCAGAACAAAAATAAATCTTACAAGAATGTGGGAGAAGGTTAGAGAATTAGATCTAAAAAATGTACGAATAAGAAGCTGACTTAAACTATGTTTTTGCTAGTTCCCCGTTGGATTAAGTGACTCAGGGAGGGGTGGTTTGACTCAACACGCACGCAGCTTAAGCCAAAATAGAACAGGTCACATGACTGTTGGAGAGTGCTTCTCTTCAGGCGTGCTGGGAAAAACATATGGTGTCTGCAGGCCCGCTCTGCAGAGCCGGAGGGATTAATCGAGTTTTTGCACCCCCGCTGCAGGCTCTTTGCACCCCGCCCTTGCCTCCAAATAATCATAGAGTGTGTCTGTCATTCCAACCTCAGCTATGTGGCCCCCTCCCCCATATTTACCAGCCTTTCTTTTGTGTCTGCCTTCCCCTTGAGGCCTCAGAACTCGATCCTCTGTGCAGAAAGCACAAGTGGAGTCAGATTATTTATTATTTCGTCTCATGTGATTTGTCTGCTGGTGTCCAACTTCAAAAACAAGACCATAATAGTTTTTAATCTAAGTTTCTGGGTAAAAATAAAAATAAGGAATTCCTCTTTCAGAAAGGATTCTCGATGACTCATTTTCTCCTCTCTGCAGGGAGCAGCTGTCCTGCAGATCTGAACTGATCTCACTCCGCTTCCCTCTCCTCTGTTTGCACAGTGTAAGACAAAGACAATCAAAATGGCTGTTTATGACTAGGAGTAAATAACCAAGCTCATATATGGATGGTTATTAAAGGATATGAGAGGGAACCATCTATCTCAAACCAGTTTTATTGCAGAATTAATCATAGCATGTACACTCAAATGGCCTAGATTGCAAAGCAGCTAGAAGATACCATGTGTGTTTTATTTCAGAGGTGTGGCCCTTTTGTACATCAATATGGAACATAAAGAAATCAATGGGGAAATGCTGAAATGCTTTGTCTTTCAAATACTTTTTGAACAAGTTATGTTCTCTGTTGCTAACTTCTTCTCTTCTAATGTTGTTTTAAAAGAGATTTTGAAAGTTGCGCTCTAAATTAGAGGATATTAAAGGCGCTAACAAATCTGGATTTCACTCTACTGCTTTGAAAAAACGTTCATTGATGATAAAGGGAATATAATCGACCTAATAAAAGATATAGAGTTCATTTATAGAGGAGGGAGAAACGTCAGAGAGCCGATTTGCCTTTAATATTTCCTTACATCATTTCATTTCATTTCAAACCTTTATTTAACCAGGTGAATCACATTGAGATCATCAATTTCTTTTTCAAGGGAGACCGGCTGCAGTAGGTTACACATCAAGACAGAAAAACAGAAAACAGAAAAAAAAAGGACATTTTAAGATTTTGCATACCTAACGACATTTACAGGTACCAACAGTATCAGATTGCATTGCATCTATCCGAGCTTTAAAAACAGGCAGTGGAACCAAATTGCTCAGTTTCCATTCTTTTTGCAGACGGTTCCAAGCAAGAGGAGCTGCGCTCATAAAAGCTTTTTTCCCTAAGTCAGTCCTAGCACTTGGCACATGTAACCACATCATGAGATCTCAGGCAATAGCTACCTGCAACTCTCTGTGTGATCAGAGAGCAGATATAAGATGGTAGTTTACCCAACATGGCTTTGTAGATGAACATGTACCAGTGACTGAGCCTCCGTACATTAAGTGATGGCAAACCTGCCCTGGCATACAGGGTACAGTGATGAGTAAGTGCTTTGCAATTTGTAACAAATCTCAGTGCACTGTGATAAGCAGCATCTAACTTGTTCAGGTAATAGGCAGGTGCATTCATATAAACCAGATCACCATAGTCCAGCACAGGTAAAAAGGTCACAGAGAATAGCCTTTTCCTGGCCTCAAGCGAGAAACAGGACTTGTTTCTGAAAAAGAAACCTAGCTTCACCCTCAGCTTTCTAAGCAGATTATTGTCCTGAAGTTTAAAAGAGATAATAAACAGTTTGTATTATTTGGCTGTTTTGCCCCACTATTTTGCGTTTTTTTGGTCACGGCGGTGTCTGTCATAGTTTCCTCTTAGATTGATGCTTACGATCTGGCACCTGGTTGCCAAGCTTTGTTCAGACTTTGACACTGAGAAACGACCCAGACAGAGTAGAATGAAATTGAATAAAGAAAATCCAGTCAGAAGGCTGCTGGGTCTCTGCAAATACAGATACACACTTCCAGTGGGTCATTAGTGATGATGTAAGGGGTCATTTGTGTATGAGTTAACATTGATTTTCAGGAAAATCCCTGCATGTCACTTTAAGGCTTGAAGAAAGAAATATTTGAGATTTGTGAATGCCCCACCCAACAATCATGTAGCTGTTTCCTTCATATTATTCATATGAGCATTTTCTGGTTGCCACCCCAATGCTTAACAGATATGGTTAGGTTAGGTTAGGTTTACTGAAACTTTGCGGGTAACGTAAGGGAACGGCTGCCTCCATTGTTCGAAAAATCTGTCATTACAAAGTTAGGATGTGCTTTACGTTGAAATACAGTAATGTAAATGCTAGAACAATGGTACATATAGTATGATATAGGTTCCCCATTTTTAAACTGGAAATGTTCTGAACTCCAAATCACCAAATCAATTTTTACTGAGCGTGTAAGGACACATTCCCACCGACTTCCTAGGGAAGGGTTTGTTTGTCATGCTAGCTCATACTTGCCAACCTTGGGAGTGAGCAGAGGGTAGAGTTGTTGATTATTGTTCTGTTTTCTGTGACTAACTGCCTCACCCTCTCAGAATGTCAGTTGCACGCGCTACTAAAGAGACGCGCTACCATTGAAACTAAACAATGTATTAAAGTCCGAGTGGAAACAGTCCTGAGTAAATCGGATTTAGTCAGAAATCGGGAGAAATATGACCCCGGGAGGAAACCGGGAGAGGGCAATGAAATCGGGAGTCTCCCGCGATAATCGGGAGGGTTAGGGTTAGGGACCGTTAGCCCATTGCTACTGAGAGCGGGCAGTTAATATGAGTGCAAAACCACGAGAGGATGCTTGTCAAGAGATGTAAATATAACATCTGTTTACAGTAAAATACTTAAAGCTAATGACGCTGTGATGGGAGGAAAGGACACTAAATTTAGATGTGTGTTGCCAGTGGATGAAAACAAATATCTGCTAGAAACCTTTTGGTGAGATCAAAAACAGTGTCTCTGTGTTTTTTTTTATAGTTTTTAACCTGATTCAAGACCTACACTTGAATATGGAGAATATATCCACATACAAACATCCACACCATCCAGCTGTCCTGCAATCTTAGACAGAACGATGCAAACAGCTGTTATTAGAGTCTTGTGTTCAGGATCCCCAAATCTCTGTCCAGCTGATCCGACACAGCGCTTCCTGATTGGCTGACAAAACTCTGTCTTTATCTCTCACACATACACTAGTCTACACTGTCTGACGCACGTATAACCACATGTTGCAGGATGCTATGATTAATTTCCTCAGTTCCTCTATTTGGTGGTGGGTTTCTATGGCAACCACAGCTATCCTTAAATAAAGATGAGCAAACAGCTGCTGAGGAAACTTCACAGGTTTTATACTCAGAAGCTCAAACAAGTGACTTTTTGTCATGTAATGCAGCATAATAACATGTTTATGTTGCTTTGGGTTCACCGTCATGGCAAGGTGACGTCACTTTCAGGAAGAATGTGCAGTTAAAGCCCACTCAACATTTGTAATCATCATCCAGGTTTTCCACTGCTGTCCATATATGGAGGCAACTGCATTGCACTTTTAACAATAAAAGCAGGGTTTACACTACTTTAAGTGGGCTTGACAAACATGTTAAAGTAAACCCTTTGTAAAGCCAAAATGAAGTAATGTACTCCCTTTCCTTCCCCCTCTCAAATCTTTGTTCCGGCCTACGTGGAAATTAACGGTTTTATAATGCTGTAATCAAGGCATTAAATCAGCGTCCTGCAATCTGTGCTTAACAGGGTATATAGTTTCGTGGAAGTAAGAGGGCTTAAACGTACCTGAAAAGTGTGGATTGTGATCGGTTTGGACCTGAGAGAGCCGCGGTGAGCGCTTCTAGCTGCAGCGGGAGCAGAGAGGCGTCGAGTCGGCGGACTGCGGAGCGATGAGCTGCTGTTTATGCCTCTGGCCCGGGACACTCCCCGTTATGACCCTCCCCTGCACCGCCCGCTGTAGAGGGGCGGCCCATACTGTACATGCACACGTGTGACTTTATCAATCTAAATAAATCATTTTTGTCCAGCAATCTATCGAGACTATGAATAATAAGCTTGTCTGCAATGACTTTACTTCATCCGTCATAAAGGTGAGGGTTTTGCTCTTTGAATCGGATTACAGAGTCCATGGTTTTTTCGACATATGTTAATAGGTTATACATTCACTCAACTTCCTTTTGCTCTAGTGATGCCAAACCATTACCCAATAAAACAATTGAAAAATATTTGATTTTGATTTTTTTTGCAGGGGTTGTCAGACGGGTCTGCACTTCCGGTTTTCAACAGAGTACATCTTTGCCCAACACTGCCCCTACCTGGTGTACTACTGATGCATAGAAGATTACTGCACCCACTAAACGACAGATGCTGACTGGGCACACCTTGTTCCTTCTTTACAGTGTGGTTAACACACTTACTGTAATGGAGAATGTGCATAATCATTGTTTTTCAACTTAGGGTCAAAGGTACAAAGGCACTCCTTGGTGTGTAAGATTTACATGTTTTTTTTTGAAAAAGCGTACTTTATCTATTAAGTAGAGGTGCTAGCTATAGGTGGTGACTACTGCAGGTGTTCAATTGTAAAGGAAACACTGGAGCAAGTTATGTTTTCATCCTGTTAATATTCCATCTTTTCCATTGTTCATTTATGTGATTAACTCAGGCAGAGTGCACTATAGTGTTAGCAAACACAGCCCCTGACATAATTTATTAGTTTGTATCGTACAATTCCATCAATACACATAAAGGATAAAAGAGAAATCAGATGTCCATGTCAAAATGCTATGAAATCTTAGGCTTTTTACCCTGTTGAACTTTTTATTTTGTCTGTCTTGTTGATCGGCCTTCTGTGACACTACTCCCCCTAAGAATATCATTTATTTGTATTAAGATGTCTGAAAATGTAGGAGCCCTGCCCGCAGTCATTGAGGACACCGACTGGTGTTGGCCAACATTACAGAAAGTAGCATAAAGTTATTTTCACCCTTTTAATTGGGCTCCTTCCGTGACATAATGACATCATGTAACACTTAAGCTGCTATTGGCTAGCTCCTATTGTCGTGAAAACTCTAAGCGGTTGATCAATCACAACAGAGACAGCCAGCTAACGAATCAGGCTCTGGTTTCAAAGAGGTGCTGCAGCACAGGCCGCATGTGAACAGTAAAGAGCTTTTTGAAAACTAAAGCATGTAAACATGTCGCGGTAGAGGAACAAAATACAAATATGAAACCTGAAAATGAGCACAATAGGGCGCCATTAACATAATGACCTGTATCTTACTGTAAACCCACATTTTCAAATCTTGGTTGCCCTCTGGTGGACAAAAGACACAGTGACAGTAACAGTGGGTCATTTGTGTTCATCTTTACTGACATACTTACTGGACAATTATGAGACCATGTAGCATTATAAGCTTACATAACTTAGCATGACAATTGATTTAAATAATGTAAAACATAGTCTCACTTTTCCTCTTTTTCCTTCTTTTGATAACATTAAACATAATGAATGTATGCTATGGTAACGACGCAGTTGTAAAGTGATTGACAATATAATGATATAATACGATAATATGTTCTATTAGGGCAATAGAAACAATTATGTTCTGTCTTTGGTGACAATATGTTGACAACAGATTCATGGAAAACACATGTTGCCCTGCATTAACAGATGCTATAAAAACAAATGAGTGTCTCTGATGTGCATTGTCTCGTCAACTTTCTAAATTTAGCAGCTGCACACATTGAAAGGCTCCAGTCATGGATGAAAACATCGCAACAAAAAAGTCTTGTTTTTGTGCCGTGCTGTTTCGGACAGTAACAGAAGCTGCATTCAGCCTGACAGGAAGTCCAGCCTCAACAGGCAGAGCAGGACACTGGAGACGGGGGACATGAGGTGGACAGATCAACCAAATCACAAGGAAACATGTTTTCCCACGAACCCCGACTGGTGGCCCAATAGTTTTAAAGGTCCCCTATTATATTGTTTTCCATCAATATATTATAGGTCTCAGATATGAAACATGTCTCTAAAGTGTTTGTCTGAAACACCAAACAGATCATTGCAGCATCCCATAATCCCCTCTGTTTCAGCCCTGTTTCAAAAGTGCTGATTCTCTGTCTGTTACTTTAGATGAAAATAAGGAGCCACTCCCCACGCCCCTCTGAGAGATATTTGGTTACAAAGAACACAATAGGCGCGTTCACACCGCAGTACTTTTCCCACTTTAGTTCTGATATAGTTCCGAAATGTCGCGTTCACACCAAAAAGAGCCGGAACTAAAATTAGTTCATCAGAACCTTTTTTACCCCCTTTTCAGTCCCTGCTAGAGAGCAGGGACTTTCGTGGGAGAAAAAGGCTTTTTCTCCCACGAAAGTCCCTGCTCTCTAGCAGGGACTGAAAAGGGGGTAAAAAAGGTTCTGATGAACTAATTTTAGTTCCGGCTCTTTTTGGTGTGNCCAAGTACCTTTGTGTTCAGGGAAGCAACGTGCCAAGCGAGAGAGTGTTCAGTTCAGCAGGTGATATCCTACGCTGTGAAAGGGCCCGTTTGGATCCAGAGAGCAGATATGAAAAAAAAAGAAAAAAAAACTGAACTGTGATGGGATTTGTTTTCTTTCATCAGGCACAGTGTTTCCGCCAGGCCAGGGCTGAGAGGGCATCCACCCCGAAAAGGGGGGTGCTTGAATTTTGACTTGAGCAGTCCCTTATAGATACTGTCTTTTCACGTTAGTGAGCCGGATCATTTGGCTCGGCTCTCTTAAAGCGCCGGCTGTTTCGGCTCCCAAACGGCTCTTCATGTTACTACAGTTTACCACGGAGCCTCAGTTTTGCGAGGCTCTGGCGCTCGTAGCTCACGCGCGTGCGCCACTAAAACCCCCCTCGCTCATCGCGTCTAAATCGCGCACGTTCCATGTTGTCCTGTAGCAGGCACCAACGATGCCGGGGAAACGATCTTCAATACTCCGAAAAGAATCCCACCAGAATCCTTTGCCCCTCCAACAGAGGGATGTCCTTGTCCTTTTCGTTATTTCAAGCGATAAAAACTCTCGATCTTCTCTAGAATTATTAATATTTTTGGACGCCCTCGGCTCGAGTTCAGGGCATCCTGAGCTGAATTGCGTCAAATGACGACAAGACGCCCCCCTGACGGAAACGCTGATCAGGCAAATGTTGATTTTAATGATGCAGAGATCTCATGATCCGTTATGTGTTCTCTGGTCAATCGAATCTCAGGTTGAATATTGATTATACCGGTGCCATTTTCTTTTTGCATTGACAAGATGTGTTATTCACGCCTGATGGTTGTTATAGATGATATTGCAGAATGTGTTTTCTTCATAGATAACGTGTTTTTCATTGTTTGTTCAGTACTAAAAAGGTCCAAGTCCCACAATTGAATTTAATATTCATTTGACACGTTAACTATATCATAAAGCGCTTCATGGGAGTAATTCCGGGATGATTCAATGTTTCCCTTATGCAACATGAAAGTATCACGATATGTATCGGTTGAGTATCGGTATCGTTCAGTGGTATCGGTATCGTAAAAAAGTAAACAATATGCAATCCTAACCACAGGGCAGGTCATTGGAGTGTTTTAACTCACAAAAAGAAACCTACTAAACTGGGCAGCACTGCTCTCTCAATAAACCAAGTAAAAAACTATAAACTAATAAATGTGTAGAGACTCGTTTCAACACTGGTCTGTCAGAGTAACACTGAGGTTGTGCCTGAACTGACCCGCAGTGACGTGATGGAGTTGGGGTCTTTGTAGCGTCCATCCTCCTCTTTGAGGTTGTAGCCCTCTGGTCTCTTGTCCCGCTCACTGATTTTCCACAACTTGATTGTCTTATCTGTCAAAAAGAAAAGTAATCGTGTCAATTATAATTAAGCTTTTCCGTTTTACATGATGTTCGAGTCATACATAGATTAAGGGGTATACCATAGAGTGCCACAGTGACGCGTCCTAAAACCCGGAAGTAAACTGTCCGTGATCTGTCTCTTCAATGTGTGTCAACCACACACCTTATTTCGAGCTATTTTCCAAAATCCTATGGAGAAATTGCACTGCTTTTTGGCGAAGGAACCGGAACTGGTAAAATGCTAACTTACTTCCGGGTTTTAGGACGCGTCACTGTGGCACCCTATATCCTAATTGGACAAAGACACTACAACATGGGGCTGTGCGATTATGGCAAAAATCTTAATCACGATTATTTTGGTCAATAATTGATATCACGATTATTAAAAACGATGATCTATTTACTTTGAGAAAAAAAAATTTGAACAGTATGTTTTTAACAGTTGATTAACCTGAACTTTAAGTATAATTCAACTGAAAAACCAATAAAAAATGTTTAAACACAATTAAACATTTTCTTTTTTTTAATAAAAAATAATCTTTTTATTTCGATTACGTTGTTTTCGTAATTGTTGCAAGCCAAAATTTTAATCGAGATTAAATGACGATTAATTGCACAGCCCTACTACTACAACAACAGCAGCAGAATGGCCGGAGACGGGAGAGTTGACCGGGCTGTTTTTAGTTATTGGTTAAAAAGTGTTCTAATGTCACCTTTTTTGTATAGAATATTAAAGTAACCGGTTGCTTTTGACTCCACTCACCGTTAGTCGACAACAGGAACTGAGCAGCATTCTTCTGAGGAAGCCAGCGAATTTTGTTGATCTTCTCCTCTATTTCCAAACTCTTCAAGTAGTCAAACTCGGGCTCATGGCTCTGGAAAGTGCTGTAAACGTTGTATTCGCTCCGGAACTGAGGCAGATTCTTATTCTGCCCGGCAGCAGAGCAAAAAACATCAGACAAGGATAAACAAAAAGAACAGAGGTTAGAAAAGAACATGCAAGTGATGGCCTTTTTTATATTTATACATTTGTTGAGTTTCAATCAAATTCTTGTCTGTCTTTTAATTGAGAAGTGACAGCTATTTTCAGACATAAAGCATAACACTAGTTTAAATGTAATCCTTAAAGTACAACAAATGAGTCCTAAACCTGGAAAGGATTTTTAAAACTTTAAGTTTTTGATTAGATGCCTTAATAAAAGCCTACGAAACGTTCCCTTTTTATCCTACGCCATAAAATACGTCAGCAAATGCCACAATTTGGAGCTTTATCATTTCTTTAAAAAAAAGGGGGTATGCTAACAAGTGACAAAATAAACTATTCAATATCACGCCGAACATGGCGTACGACTGTATCTTAGTGGTCGCAGTCATGTGACCGTGATGTATTTTGTTTATAGCCTAATTTTAGTTTATTACTACTAAAGTGGTGTTACTATGGGAAGATTACCCTGCTGAACTAAATGTGTATCACATATCAAGAATCATAGAAATGTGTTTGCCACAGATCTTATTTAAAGTTCCCATTGCTTTTAGTTGAGAAACCAATGTCGGCCTACAAAATTTGCCGTCACTGCACTACTATTAATCCTTGATACAAAGCCGCTTCCAGAATAGTCCTGTTTCTAATAGAGTAATTGAGTTCAGGGGGTGACACTCTCTAAAATGAATATTGTGTGGGAATAAAACAAAGTTGCAATGTACCTCTATTTCCTGCTGGAAAATGACGACACGCCCACCCTTGTCTCCTGTGGCTAGCAGCTCCCCTGTGTGGTTAAACTCAACTGTGGATATGATGTCCGCTGCAAAAAAAACAAAACACACAAACATCAGAAACTTGCCCATGTAGAAATGTTCTATTTATACATATAGCATATTTCTCGGTGCACAGACATAACATTACGAATAGAAACGAGAAAGAGGAAGCACTCTGTTAATCCTAGCTAACCCTGGATGTATACGTGCTGGAGTCAGAGTGCATGAGAGTGCAGGCCAGAGATGCACAAGGATGTCAGAGCAGACGGAAAATTATTAGTAACCTAGATTCTCCCTCCTTTTCACCCCCCATCCCTCACTTATACAGCATTACACGTCCACCCCTAGCACAGTAGTGTGTTGCTTTATAAACTCCAACTCGCTCAAACACACTGACTTAACCCTTTGGTAGCCACTGGAGCAGAAAGACAATGCAGCAAAAGGTCGTGCTAGGAGGTCTTTGTGCATGTTGTGTCCCCCGGGGCCAAAAGTAGGGGGTCATGTATTTCAACTAGGCTACTTAAATTAATATATACTTGAAAATCAGTTTTCTATTAGGGCAGCAACTATCTCATTATCCATTATTGTTCGTTTTCTAGTACTTCAACAACTTGCCCTATAAAATACGGAAGAACGCCCATCAGATATGGAAAAACAGCAACAGTAGAGAACTAACTGCATTGCTATGAGTGCATTATATATTAATGGCTAATGGACGTTACTATCTATGAATGCTGCATGAATCAGGAAGCCAGGATGTAGGCCGAGGATAATGTGCAGTTTTTCTGTCACTCCACTGTTGGAATGTGTCAAAGGGTTGAAACATGCCAGACTGCTGCAGAACATCATGAACTGAACAGATGTACCTTTACGGTGTTACAGTGAAGTGTTGCCATTCTTTAGATTCAAGCTATAGGCCATCCTTAGTGTTATTTACTATGCTGTGATTCAATAGAAATGTTTTAGGGATGGAAATCGTATGACACAAGACAATAAGCTGCATAACCTGACAATTTCTATTATTGGCTCAATGAAACATCAAATACAAAAATTAAGAGAAATATTATATTCTTAAGACATATTCTATCAAAAGGCGCATTAAGTATGATTATTTGTTGCAGTTACTAGCAATACACAGAACAACAAGAATAGTTGTTTGTGATGCTTTTGAGTTGTATTGCTTAAAATGTACATCTATTTGTTTACTCCATTTACTCTAATATGAGTAGGCAAAATAACAGCCACACCTCTCTTAGCTACAAGGTGTAATGCAATGCACCATTATCCAACAAAGCACAGGCTAGTTAAATACATGTTTAAGCTTACATTCACAGTTAAATACCTTATACCATGAACAGTGTAGCACTGAGCTAATTCTACAGTTTAGTTTGCATCGAGACAGAAGGGAAAATTATTCATGCCTTGACAACTCAACAGAAATCTTGTTACATAAACTGCTGTATTATGTTTGAAAGGCCTTTACACTAAGCATATGACCAACAAATCTTCTTGTTCATTTGGTCCCTAACTTGAGTAATAAATAATTCAAGTTTATTTATATAGCCCAAATCACAAATCCTATTTGTCTCAGAGGGCTTCACAAGTCAACAGGCTGGACTTCCTGTAAAAACAAGGAGCCTTTTAGTGGCTTGCCAGTTGAAAGCCTTTAATGTAAAGCGGTGAGAGTAAGAAGTGTTTGGTTTGCATTAGAACTACCTTAACACACAGCTCTAATACAGTCACTACATCAGAAAACAGGCTGCTGTATGATACAAGCAGAATCTAGAAGTGGAACTACAGGGACTTCTGTTACATGGGAGCTGCAAAAGTATGAGTATTTAACATAGTGAGTACCCATTATATTTGTGTCCTTGTGCAGGAAGGGCACAGTTGAAATGTGTAGCATCACGGCAAGTTACGGCTAAATTGTGCAACATCTAAGTGGCTATAGGACAAATAAGGAAGATGTTGAGATGCCATTTGCCCCCTCACTGAGAGTAGTTGTATATTAGTCAATTTCATTTGTGCAAATGTCCCATCTGTCCTTTAAGCTTACACATACTAATACTTTGCAGATATCATACCTTCAGCCACGTCATCATCAATGGCTCCTTTCACCTGAGAGAAGCACCACTGCATGTCACCTCCAGGTCCTGCAGAGATTAAAATATAAAAATTTGATTTAATACTGAGTATTATTTTACATTTCAAGCTTGAGTTTCACGGATCTTAACTGTGCTGGACATCGACTATGATGTAGGATGAGAGGAGCTAAGATCGCCAAGTTTCAAAGTTTTTGCTGACGGTGAAACGGAGTGCCTAAGCAATAATTAACCACATGAAGTGGTATGTCAAAACAATGTACCGATTGTGTTCAGACATTCCTTGTTCATACATGCAAATAAAAAAAGAGTTTTAATTTCATCCGTTGTAAGGCAGCGTGGGAAAATTCTCAAAGTCTAGACGCTAAAGATACATGATATTAATATCCCATATGATCTTTAATCTATCTAAAAATTAAACTCAATTGTGTCACACACACCTGCACATCCATTTATGGTACGGCCACACCACAAGGCCAGAGAGAGTTATATTCTGTTATGAAATACAGGCCACTTTGATATTAAAGATCATAAACATTTAATGAGTCCAATAAAAGCCAGATTTTAACCTTGGTTTGTAGTGTTTTATTTGTCTCTGGTTATGAGAGAAAAAGTAGGTTGCAAATGAATTTCTTAATTACGCATTTATCTCCAGATCATAATAACAGTTGGTGAATGTAGGGTTGAAACGTCTATTCTTTTAAATTTGGCAACCTCTTATACCAGCAGGCTACAATAATTAAATACAACAAGAAACAACATGCTGGCTTGTTCGTTAAGGACCTCCATCGCCCGCCTCAACAGGTTCTACCTTCAGCATCATTGCACAACATTGGTATTTAAAGAGCGCATATTTCTACGTGATCATTTATGTTATTACACAATGAGAACTGGTCTGATAACACCTTGTGGAAGAGCTCTGCAGAATAATCAAGGACATTTATGAGTCACCATTCTGAGATGAATCATGATTTAAAACAAACAGCCAGGAAAAGGGATGGTTCTGGTCAGAGCAAAATGAAGCACTGTGGTGGATTGCAGCATTCCTTGAGAAAATGCCTAAAACACAAAGGTGTTTAAATGGTAAAATTATCTCAGTCAGTCAGTCTCAACGAAAGGATGATGTGCAATGCCTCTGCCCAAAGACCAGTGTCAACTCCCCGCCCAAATGGACCAAATGCATGTACAAAATAGACAGTTGTGACCATTTCTTCCAGATGAATAAATAGCCATCTATTACAATCGGCTATTACAGTTTAAAGTCGCATATTAAGTGTTTTAACTCTATATTCACTGCACAAGTAGCAGCTAATGAATGAAATGTGAACTGCTAACGTAACGTTAGACTACAGAGATCCTGACTATCTAGGCCTTATTTGAGGGAAGCATATTTATGCATAGGCATCTGCATGTTCCCGATACTGGCTTGATTTTGTATTCCCTTTAGTCAGAAACTGCACAAAATATGGAACAGTCTGTTCAGTCTGCAGAAGGCCTGGAGTATTAGCCTGCATGTGGGCAATGTCAAAGTTTGAGCTAGCTAGAACGTTAGCATGCCTGGCTTGTCAAGCCAGTCATGGCATGTTTGAGGAATTGTGTGCACGGGAGTGAAAACCGCCAGTTTTACGTCAAACTATTTTGGCTAATGTGTTAACAGAAAATAAGATATTTTAAATTAGCCCTTTGTAAATCCCATGCAAAAGTGAGAAGCAGCAGCCGTTACGGCTATGACAAGTTAGCTTTACATGTTAGTGTCGTGTTAGCTATGTTTGGCTAACACGGTATGCAGCGTTAGCTTGCAATGCAGATCCCGGGCCGGCGATAGTGGTAAACAGCTATCGTTTGCTAGCAGCAGCTGGCTAGCTAGCTAGCTAGCTAGCTTTAGCCGGCAAAGACAGGCCAGATACATGGGCGATGACACTCGGGTTTGCGGGCTAGCTAACGTTAGCAACAGCTAGCTAAGTTGTGTTAGCTAGCAACCGTTAGCTTAACTGACACTGGGCTGGGTTAACGAAATACTGTTTCGACCGTCGGGGCTGAGAGCCTGTTGGAGCGGAGTCTCGTACAAAAAACGCCGGCTGTTGGTGGTGTTTATGTGTGTAATGGTTAAAATGAATTACCTGCCATGACGAGACAGACAGTGGAGCTTTCCTCAGTCAGTCACGATCCTGCTTCCCACTCCCACGCGCTGGTTCGTGGGATCTGAACTTTTCTTCCGCTGTCTGTCTGTCTGTCTGCGCAAACCTGGATGTCAGGCGCTAAATTAACCGTAAAGCAGGGATTGTATATCTTATCCTCCTTCTCTTTCCCGCTAGTCTCGCTGTTGTTTCACTATGGGTGTCACTCACTCTCCCCCTCTGTCTCTCTTGCCGCATCCCACAAGTCACTTCTTCCCCACCCCTCTCGAGTCTCTTTCCGCACGTGAACTAAAGGCTTTTTGTAATGCGCGGGCACAATGAATGGCAGATGCACAAGCACGCGCGTGCACATCAGATTGGCCTTTTCAAGCATTTATACAATTGAATAATTAAAGCCTGAAAAAATTATAAAAACACTAACAAATACCAATGTAGTTCTTGTTCTTGTTGAACATTTTGAGAAACAATGTAGCATCTTGGAGTAGGGTATCCTTAAATCTGATACATATATATCTTTTTAAAACCCTCTCAGGGAATGCTTTTTGCGAAAGCTATCTAATGCACCACTCATTTTGATCTAGGAGGACATGTAATAGTCAGTGAAAACTGTAAAGCACCTGTCTTTTAATAGCAGTATTAAAATAAACACCCATGTACATCCTGAACATGTATTTCCATGGATGACTTTTGCATTCCAAAATAGGGCTTTTAGTTAGAATTTGCAAACTAGATATGTCTCCTTTCCTCACATTTATTATCCTGCATATTGTAAAGCAGCCACAGTCTGCTGGTGCTCTCTGGAGGGATTGAAAAGCTTTTAAAATGTCTCAGTGCCACAAACGCGAAGGTCTCAGACGTGCGAGTGATAGTTTCACCACCCACGTGGATACTTCACATCTCTTTCAGAAGAAGGTTGCCCACGGAACAAAAGAGAAATACAGCATTAATGAGTTGCTAGGAAATGCAAGAATGTTAGAAATTCTATCAAATGGCCAGGACACGAGAAAAGAGGATGAATATTTCCTGACAATGAAGCTTGTTCAGTTGGAGCAGAGCTATCAAAACTGCCCGTGGTGGTACTGTTAATTTCCTCCCAGGCACTCTTCACCTGTCAGGGATTTCAAAACCCTTATATCAACAATTCCAAAGACAAGATCCCCTCAATCTTCTTCAAACGACCAGCAGGAGTGGACCCCTCTGCTGACCCAGCACCTGCCTCTCATCCCAGAGGCTGAGAGACGACACAAAAACGTATTATTAAAGCATCTCTGTTTAGAGCCTCAGAATTTCTGAGCTGTTAGCCTGAGATTCATAGGATGAACCACAAACTTTGCTGTCAGCTTTTCACCAAGACTACATGTCTTTGAATTATGACTAATTGATGGCAGTAAGGGAAGCCCATTTCTGCCAATCTGACAAAAAAAAAAGTTCTTACAAAGAGATTTTGTCAAAAAGCAAACAAAACAGACTCGGTATGAACTATACAATCGCTATTTTAAGATACTAAGTCATTCTTTTTCTTTTCTTTTTTTTTATAAGTTTCTCATTGTTTTAACAAACCAGTCATTATTTTAAAACACTTACTCATTTTTTTCAAGATATAATGTCATTATCTCAACATTTTTTTTCATTTTTATATCCTTTGAAGATAAGTTTCTCCTTATTTTGAAATACTTAGTTATTTTTGAGATACTAAATCCTTATTTTAAGATAATTGTGATGAGATAGTTATTGTTTAAAGATATTAATAAAGTATCTTATTATTTTTTAGATACTACAGTCGGCCAGGTATAATGTCTCTTGTTAGCAAATGTATTTCGGCAACTTAAGTTAAAGGTCACCTATTATGCAAAATCCACTTTTTCATGTCTTTTATAAACATGTGTCCCCTGTAAAGAGATTCTGGAAGTTTCAGGAACAAAGACCCCCTCTCTTTTTGTCCTGATCCATTTATATAAAAACCTGAAAATTAGCCGATTAGATTTTGGCCACTTTATGATGTCACAACGATTTTTTGGCTTGTGTAACCATTAGCCAATCACCAACCAAGGTAATCCCCCCCCCCCACCTTATCACCTGAATCTCCTCCTAGAGCACCATTGTGTTCTTTACTAAACTAAACTAAATATCTCTCAGAGAATCAGCACTTTTGAAACAGGGCTGAAACAGAGGGGATTATGGGATGCTGCAATGATCTGTTTGGTGAAGACTCTGTGGAGTTATATATTATGTAATGTACGAAATGCACTTGGAGTAGTACTGTGTTCTCTCCTGCGTCCTGCCGTAGAAGGCACAAGTCACTTACGTTGTCTCGTTCGTGGCTGGTTGAGGTCTCTCACGTACCTTGATGTGCACACCCGCACCAGTGAAGTTTGGCCGAGACACCACGACAGCCGTATCGCGTAAATGGTTGCTTTGGTGAGGAGCTGGGATGGTGAGCACTGCGCTCACTCTGGGCGACATCGGTTGTGAGCGTCGGAGTTGCTCCGGGGAACAGTTCTACGCATGCCTCATTACGTCGCCGTTTCGAACCCTGCCGAGGGGAGAGAGGACGTCTTTGTCCTTACGGGATTGACATGACATTGTGCCAAGTTTAGCTAATCTAAGCCTGCTTTTTTACCAATTTTCCGAAGAGAAGCCGGGCTTTTGTCCCGATAGCACCCCTCGTGTTGCCAAGCAAACACTGACTGCTTAGTTTTGCGCCGCTTGTGTCGTCCGCGCGGCGTGTACCGAGCGCCGACCGAGTTGTGCGTTGTCAGCGCGGACCTCTATAATTTTATAGTCTCTTTTCCCGCCTACGCTAAAATTTTGCACAAGTGACTCGTAACAGAGCTCCTCCACTTGACGTTCTGAACGTGGTGAAGCCCTAATAGTGAACTTAGTTTTGTGGCCTGTTATCGCCTCATTTAGTTAGTGTTCGTGACTGTCGCTATGCTTTGAAAGTCGCGACGCGAGTAGCACCGAACTACTCTTCTCCGTTCTGAATCCGACTATTTGCTCTTCGATGACAGTAATTTTTCTGGGGCGAAAAGAATTATTCATCCTGTCCGACCGCATAGTATTCGAATACATCATAGATGTACATAGTATATGGGTGAAGACCTTGTTTAAAAGTAACACTCAACATAATTTCCAGTGGAGAGTCCATAGTAATCCCCTTTCTGTGTCGTGTCAGAAGTTATTACATGAAAGCCATGGATTACTATGGTTACACAATCGTAACGAGTACTCCTGTCGTTGAATCAAATCTAAGACTTTAACATAATTAAACATTAACTAACGACCTAAAACATAGGTAAAAGTGACACTAGCAAGAAAATCTGGGAGTGTCTTTTTGCCGTAAGACGCAGCGTCTTAATGGCGTATAGCGTTCTCCGCGTTAAAACTTTTCGCGTATAATGTTTTCCGGCGATATTCGGGGCGTAAAAGTGTGTCACTCTTTTTTTTTCACAATTGAGCGACTGCATGCAGTCAGTCGAGCGGTAGTGTCTTACATTTGTGTGACTATCCTCGAGTAATCGTTGCTGAAAGATGATTCTGGCCGTTTTTCGCGCTTTGATAGACGTGGGGCCGTTTACACACAACGTCCGTATTCTCTTTTAGCTGCCACCCTCGGTGAACTAAGTAATTGTGACTTTTTCGAAAGACGACGTCGCCTGTTCTTGGTAAGTTGAGCAAGTTGCTCCTAGTGAGGTTTTGGAAAGCTCCGATGTCTTGCTTCACTCATGGATGTTCTACTTCCGACAGTGCTATCTTGCTCTTTACTTTTGTCTTACTCGCCCTCCCGCCCCACCCCCTCACTTCAACACACCTAATTTTTTGGGTTACGAAATGTTATTATTTGTACTACACAAATTAATTATCATCTTCCAAATTGCTCCCCCATCCCACCACACTCTCTCTTATTATTCTGTCGGGTTTATAAATTTTTAACAATGAATAATGGGGCGGTAGTATAGCGTTGAAAGCGTATAAAGGATTGAAGGCGTTAACAGTGCGTTATTTATGTATATTTGGGACGGTACAAATCTGGTATTAGTTCCTAATATCGGGTATTAGTTCCTTAAATCGGGCGTATGTTCCTAAAGACGGGCGCAATAAGACCGCCCAGATTAGAATATGTTAATGTTGAAACGAATTACTCTTCGTCGGATAAATGTTAGACTATAAGTAACTTAAAGTATAACCATTATCAATGTAAAGTACACCTAAATGTAGGTCAAGACTGTAAACATACGTACGGAATAGTCACGTAAACATAACAACAACTTCCGGTACGAAATGTCAGAATAATGTGATAAAACAACATCCGGTGCCGGTCTACAAAATTCGTCAAAATCTCGTGGAACGAAACAAGACTCGTGAAACAACATCATAGGATGTCTCTTTTCTTTAGTGAACTGAACCTTAATTACATACATACGTAAGTTTTTCACGACTTATTCGAAATCCCTTTGTGCGGTATTTATCACATATAATAAATGCCATTCATTCAAAACGTATTAGTAGCAGAAAAGTATAGTCCATCGACTTGGATATCTAAAAATGTATTTTTCAAACATTATTATTTAAATTTTATTTTTCTTTCTTTTGTTACTTTTTTTTTTAACGGTCCGCGATCTACCCGTACCACACTCGCGATCGACCGGTCGATCGCCATCGACTGGTTGGGACCAGTGCTTTAGGGTGACAATCGCAATAGCAACTAATGGTAAGCAGTTTGTGAACGCTGCCTGCCATTCACTGAAGCAGAGCGCAGTGTTAACCAATGGAACTTAGACTGCTGTCAGGATTTAGTCATTTAAGGTCGGTGGCTAAGCTGTCAGCAGCAGAGAGCTTAACCTGCTCTGCTGAAGCTCTCATTCAGTGAGCTACACTTGTTGTTACAGGGCTCGACATTAAGGACTGCCCGATGGCCCGGGGCCATCTAGTATTTAGCTCGGGCAATGAAGCCTCACCTGCTGGTTGGCAGATCGGGCAATCTATTATGCCATGCAGCTCGCGGATCCAGTAACGAGTGACCCGACAGTAAAACTCAACATATCTATAACTAGTTTAGGTAGTTTGAGAGGTAATTCAAATAGCTACGAGTGATATTCTAACCTGAAGTGTGTGTTTTGTCCATTCACCGCTGCATGTGATCATGCAGAGCTGCGTGTCGACTCGTCAGCAGCAGCTGATCTCTCTCTCCCGTCAGATTAGACTTCACTCGCGTTTATGTCCATATCGATCAGATCCAGCTAGTTCTAGCTAATGATATGGCTACCTGCTTATTAAAAGACACCTAAACAATAAGCGTCGCTATGCAACCGGGTGAGGCCACAAAGTATAGCGCAGCATTATGCATTTGTTTACATGCCCACCCGAGGCATTACCAACAGATCAACGCACAATCAACCCATACAGGACATCTCTTTCTCCACATTACGTGTTAGACATTAGAATTGACTATTTTTGTCTGTCACATACTATTCTTGTCTGTCACATAAGTGGCGCAACTGATGCGGTATTGCGCTAAGGAAAAATTATTTTGACCGGTGAGATTTAGATTTGCCGGTCTTCAGCATATTTTACCGGTCATAGTCCGGTAATTACCGGCTAACGGGAACTCTGGTCGGCGTTCTGGCGATTTACTCGGAAGGCTTCCCTAACTCCGGGGACTTCGGGTGGCAGTATACGCCATGAAGTTGTTTGTGGCCTGCCAGTAAACCCAAAGCAGAAGAAGAAGTGACATCAGCAGCTTCATTTGCGTAATCTTCCCTCTCGGACTTATTCCGGTGTGAACGAGATCAGCTCTTAGTTCTATGGGGGAACTAAGTGCTGGGAACTAAGCACGGCAAAGTACTTGGTGTGAAAGCGGCTAATATCACTCACTCAAGTACCCCTGACATGAGAGCAGCGCGAGTTTTCCTTTTGTAGCAAGCGGCAAAAATAATTGTAACATGACGTGTTTGAGTTCATCTGCCTACTTAATATCACACGTCCTAAAAAAAAAAATCTCGTGATTTGCCTTTGCAGAATAGTGGTGTTTCCTAACATACAAACAAATAAGGGTGTGTACACCAGCAGGGAGGTATACAACTCTGTGACACAAAGTATTGATTGTTTATATTTGCGGATTGTCATTTAAAACAAATCTGGGTTTAGTTAAAACATGTTTTTACAGCTGTATTTGGGACCTGTGCAAGACGACCCATATTGCTCTAGTGAAAAAACATCTGTAGTCTGCAGTGTTGCAAGTCCTTCTTCTGGTATTGGCTCGTATTGTTTGGAACTTGGACAAAGTCGTTTCAAGGAAAAGAACAAAGCGTGTAGAGCCTTGCTTCCCATTCAATGGAAATTAGACTTTACTCCAGTCAAAGGTGCAGCCAGTAGCATTCATACCATTGACCTGCCCCTGTGGTTTCCTAAGTGCCTTCAGGCTGTCTAAGAATGCTGCAAGATTTATCATATTTTTTTATATAATGCCAACACTTTAAGAAAAGAACATGATTCACAAGCAGTGTGTTACACCTGAGAGCTGTGAGAAGTGAATGGTATTTCCAAATAGGATCATTTCTCCCATGTTTTCTGCGTTGAATGCAGCATCACTCTCTCCTCTCCCTATCTTTGTAAGCCAGCCACCCTGCTCCCTTTTCAATGTGGGAGGACCAAAAGGAAGAAGACAAAAATATTGCGGTATTAAAAACAATATGACAGCTTGCATTTTCTGGTTGTTAAAGTAACGCAACACGCTCTCCGGCTTGGGAGTTCTTCAGGCTCAACGGTCAGTAAAAAAGTGACCATCAGAGCACTGATAAAAAAAATTGGACACGTTGAAACTTGAAGCTAAACTGATGCTTCTCAGGCCTCACCACAGTTTGAGATGACCGAATCTGAAACGATGGTGCATTATCATCCATCATGTGTGATGTGGCTTTCATATCTCATGTATACGTTATTTATCTTATGTTAAATAATTATATGAAAATCTGCACTGTGCCTGTTGGCTTAAATTCCGAGTTTATTGCTGCTAATCTGCCAGAAGCACCATTGTTAGAAGCCGTAATAGTACAGTATTTTTTTTTTTTTCAGAGCATTAATGACAGCACAATCCTTAATATCTCCCGTGGCCATTGTGGCAGGAGAAACAGCCGCTGTTTACACGAGAACGAACTGGGTTGTATCCGCTACTTTTCTCTCGCGTATAGCCCGTTCGGCCACACGAGGCCGTAACGGAACCGCGGAAACGGACCCCGCAAACGATAACGGGTCCCAAGGTGGATAGATCTGCGAACGGCTCCGTGTTTACGCCCTATACGATCATTTTCCTGATGAAGTGGAAGTACAGCGCCACTTACAGGCCCGGCATATGTACTACAGCGGGTCGAGCGGTCTCGTGTGAAGGGACACGTTTATTGAGCTGTGTGAACGGAAGACTTTCGAATTTGGTTGATTTGCGTTCCCGTGTAAATGGGGTCTAAAAAGAGACTCTGCAAACTTGTTTGGGATTTTGACAATAACAATTCTTGCATCTATTACTTTAGTCTTGTGTGTAGTTCATGGCTTAAATATCTCTTTTGTTGATCTCTTCATAAGCTCTGTCATTCAGATTAGTTTTGTCTGTACACGCATCTTCCTAATGTCACGCAGAAACCTGACTCAGCTGAAGTCTGACTGTATTTCATCATACTCACTTTTATATCTTCCTCTCTGTTGTCCAGTGTTTGAGGAGCCTGAAGATCCCAGTAATCGCTCCTTCTTCTCCGAGATCATATCCTCAATCTCAGATGTAAAGTTCAGCCACAATGGACGCTACATGATGACCCGAGACTACTTGTCCGTAAAGATTTGGGATCTGAACATGGAGAGCAGGCCAGTGGAGACCTACCAGGTGAGAGGGACAAACACATAAACAGTAACGTATTAGTTTAGTAATGTATCTACTCGGTAACTTTGTCTTTTGTTAGTAATATTGTAACTGACAACATTTCGTTTTTTTGCGATGCACAGCTAATGTTTTTACCACAAAGGTTCATTTGAAGCAGCTACATGCATCACACCACTTGATTTGAAGCAAAAGAAAATGTCACTTCTCTGAATTTACCTGGGCTTGTAACCTCAAAAATGAAATAGGAAAAATGTTCAGTTTTTTTCAAACAAAGATTCCACTAAGGTAGAATTTATATAATGTTGTCAGTGTTTATTTTTACTCTTTCTTAACCCTTAGATGTACGAGTGACTGGACTCTTCCTTAAGTGTTATTATGAAAAATCATTTGTATAATATTTAGTATTATATTTGGGTTCACACTAGGAATCATTTATATTAAATGTTTCACTATTTATTAGGGATGCACCGAATATTCGGCCGCCGAAAATGGTTAAAAAGGCCCTTTCGGCGGAAAGGGTTCTAGCACCGAAAAAATATCACCGAATGTCAGAGAACAGGGTTACGTTGGTAAGCTAACGTGTTGTTGTGATGACGTAATCAAAACGCGGCGACAAGCACGGCGCGCGACCATGCTCGCGGCTGGCTCACAGCCAACATGTCTGCCGCTTGGAGATATTTAAAAATATCAGAGAAAGAGGCGCGGATTGCGATTTGTAAAACGTGTTCAGCTGACATTTCTCGAGGGGGTGTAACTGCAAAGACTTTCTCCACTTCGGGATTACTCCACCACTTGAAATCAAAACACCCGGACAAATATGCGGAGTAAGATCAAATCACAAGCACTGACAGCGGGAGACTGTTCAGCGCTGCCTCTCATGTGCTTGATGAGAAGAGGAACAGACTTATGGCTGATAAAGCAGAGAAGCTACTGTTCATTAAAAAGAACCTCCCACTTTTCCTTAATAAGTAGACAAGGCTGGCTTATCATAAGCTTATCTAGTTCTACATGTCTACTCTATACCCACTTTCCTGAACAATTTTCATTGCGGAGTTATAATTCACCATTCAGGTTATCATTAAGTGGGAAATGACAGCAGGCACAGTGTGTCAATTATATTGTACTTTCGGTATCTAAATTATACCAATGTGTTTACATTGGGCTCATTGGAGGACCAGACCACCTTTATTTGCAGATTCTGAGAAATGTAATTTAATTGTAATGATTAAGTATAATAATAATAGATTTAATTGTTGAGCGCTTTACAGGTGCTCAAAGACGCTTGATTGTGCATTTGGTATCCAGTTCACTTTAATGTATCTTGTATTTACAAGTTGTACTTTACTTTGCTTATGACGGACAGAGCTTATTACAGATTCTTGAAATCAATTGTAATTTCATTTGGTTAAATAGTTTACATTCATGTGTGATTTATCCCAGTTTGCACATTTGTAGTCATGCAGCACTTATAGGTGCACTTGTTGTGTTCGAAGCCTGGGCTGCTACAGCTCCTTATTTACACTTATTTTTGGTTTGTAGGGCCTCCTGGCCTAGATGGTTTTATGCAGTTTTAAAGCACCTTGGCTTTGTCTTCGAATGCACTTTGTTGGTAGTTATCCTCAGAGAGAAAAGAAAATGCACTTGACTCTGGAATTAATGTTACTGGTATGCATCCAAAAAGTGCTGAGATAAATGTTTTTTGGTACCCGATATAGTGATTATTATTAAGTTAAGTTTTGCCATAAATATTTATTGTTTCATATTCAAGGCAGGCCTGAACAACATTTGGTAAAAAATGTAAAACATTATATATATAGTACATTATATTTCTAATAAGTCATTTTCGGCATTCGGTTTTCGCCAACCTTTCCTATTTTCGGTACTCGGTTGTCGGCCGAAGAATTTTCCCATTCGTGCCACCCCAATCACATCATTTATGCGTATCAAGACGTGTTCTATAGCATATTGAACATATTGAATGCAAAGATCTCGCTATTCTGAGACACCTCACAGTATTCGCGTTCCCTTTTTCAAACTCATCTCTCTTTCTCTGTCTAGTCACTAGCTCTCCCCCCCCCCCCCCCCCCCCCTCATCAATCCATGCCGGTTGATCAAGTTTGATAGTCCTACACCCCCCCCTAACCTTCCCTTATATTGCAAAGCAATTTTGAGTCCTTGAAAAGCCCTATAAAAATCAAATTTATTATTATACTGACAGGTATCAGATCTTGCTGTGTAAAATAATCTTCCTGAGAGGTGTCACTTGTGATGTAGTCTGTGTGGTCAACAGTGAATGTATTCCTGACAGCAACAGGTGATAAGAATCAAAGGTTCCCATAGGATCACATAGAAAATGCATGCGGGTCATTTTTTACCCACTTATGGAAGCTTGGGGTAGTAATTAGTGTTGATTTAATTGACTAAAACTATGACGAAATATGTTCGTCAACGACCTTTTTTTCCATGACTAAAACGAGACGGCACACGACGGCAGTAAACAATAACTAACGAAATCATCATGCAATATTGTTGACGAAAAGTGACGAGACGAAAAAAGAAAAAAGCGAGTGCATTGTTTCATCAGAAGGGAAGCAATGTGGCCAATACGTCAGCTAGTAAAAACACCACAAACCTGACCAGATACTCTCTGCAAAGCTGCTTTCTTAATCATTCAACCTGTGTTTTTCATCAAATAAGGACAAGATATAATCTTATTGTGAAATACATTTGACTAAAATGACAAATTATTGGTTTTGGCTAGACTAGTTTGACTGAAATGTTCTATATAATCTGATGACTAAAAAAGACTTAACATTTTTCATTGACTAAAAGTAGACTAAAATAATTAGTTTTCTTTGACTAAAATATGACTAAAATGCTCAGGCTTTTAGTCGACTAAAACTTGACTAAATAAAAACAGGATGAAGGTGACTAAATATGACTAAAACTAAAAAGGAAATGTATCTCAGGACTAAAACTAAATTAAAAAATAGCTGACGAAATTAACACTAGTAGTAATACAACATTTACAATTACAATTTCTTAAGATGTACATTTAAAATGTGAATGGCATGATATCCAAAACATGTTTTTTGAGGAATAGCTAGAATATGAAATGATAAGAAAATGTAATTACAAAGATACTTCAAGAATACCACCCCACCGGGTCAAAAAAGACCCACTTATGCATTTAAAGGTTAACAATGGCCACGCCTTATCTTACCTTGTAAATCCATAATGTGGCCACACTGGGGCACTGTAAATACATGGTTTTGCTTTGCACTAATGTGTGTACACTACTAACTCTGTATGTGTCAGTCTTTAAATAGCGCCTTCACACCTGCCTTTGCTTATTGCAGGTTCATGAGTACCTGAGGAGCAAGCTGTGCTCGCTGTACGAGAACGACTGCATCTTTGACAAGTTTGAGTGCTGCTGGAATGGCAATGACAGGTGAGTACATGCGGGAGGCAAAGAAAATGCAATAAAATAAAATGTTTTTTGTTTACTCTGTTGATGCTGCTTATCTATGTTTTAGAATAGGATTTTATTTTATTGAGGGTGCCTACAAATGACAGCAAAGCTCTTTTTAGCATCGTAATGTAATAAAATATATATATTCTATATTTAATATTAGACTTTGAACAAATATTGGGCCGTCTGATTCGAATATAGCACTAGCCCACATTGGGAATTATATTCATTGTGCAGCCATACCAGCTGCTTGCCAATGCATTTCTGTTCAGAAGTACTAAGTTATGGACAATATTCTAGCATTACTTGTGTGAAAGGCTCACGTACCTTTCTCCTTCCCCCCCCCCCCCCCCTCAGTGTGGTGATGACCGGCTCATACAACAACTTCTTCCGGATGTTCGACCGCGGCCAGAGGCGGGACGTAACTCTGGAGGCGTCCCGAGAAAACAGCAAGCCCATGCAGGTCCTAAAGCCCCGCAAAGTGTGTGCGGGCGGCAAGCGCAAGAAGGACGAAATCAGCGTGGACAGTTTGGACTTCAACAAGAAGATCCTCCACACCGCCTGGCACCCCCAGGACAACATCATCGCCGTGGCGACGACCAACAACCTCTACATATTCCAGGACAAAGTGAACTAACGCCGCGGTGAGTTTACCTGAGATCTGGCGCGGGGGGACGTCCCGTTGCATCAGCCTCGCAAACCTCACCCAGGGGTGATCTGCGGTAACGCCCGACAACCAGCATCCCTGTCCGTCGCTACTGGGTGACAAGACTTTGCCACTTTGTTCTAGATGTGGACAGAGGAAGCCTCGCTCTTGCCCATCATCAGCCTGTCTGTGGCAGAGTAACACCTGCCTTGTTGTTTAAGTGATGTTGTGCCAATTTTTTTCTTTGCCCTATTTTGGTATGGCTTTATTTTTTTTGCCAGCCCGTCTGCCCTTTTTCTTCCCCGGGGGTAACATGGGTACACGTTTAATTTCCTTAAAAAAATCAGAATACACTTATTTTTATAACTTTCCCCTGCCAATGGCTCTGTGGTAAAAACACACTTATTTAGTAATTCCCCTTATTGTCCTGTGCCATTGTAGTGTTTATTTTTCTAAGAAAAATTTGCCAGTCTTTTTTTTTGTGTGTATACACATTTTTATTAATTCAACCATTAGACTGCCATAGTATTCTTCACAAACCTGGTTCATTCAACCTTACATACCCAACAGTCACAAATGTATGCTCACAGTTTCCTTGCAGGACAGCAACACCTCAGTGCTCGCCTCCAGGAGTTTAAGGATTGTTTCACAGATGTAAAGCCCGGCCAGTTGCTGTGCCTCGGGCTAAAATAAGTCCAGACTACAAAATAGGTTCTTTTTTTTGATTGGCTCTGTCTTTCGTGCATCGGTTCCTCTTCCTCCTTTTGTTTGTGTTGGACAAGGTATAAGAGATAGCCTATTAACAAATAATTATTATGACTGTCATATTTATATTAAAAAAAGTTAAAATGTCACCAGATTTGTTCCGTCCTATTTTGTGAAATGAAGCTGGACCTTACACATCTTTTCGAGTGATCTTTAAGTATTGTCTTCCCGTGGTGTACCACAGCTCCGAAGCAGTACTTCACAACAGGGAAAAACCTTTTTTTGATTTGACACTGGACTCTTGCTGCACCAACTAAAGTACTTGGATGTGTTGTCGGTTTAAAAGAAAACATTATTTGAGGCATTACGTCACTTAAAGTGTTTGTTTAAAACTACTGCAGACATTATTACTGCTACTGTAATGTGATGGTACAAAAACTGCACCAGGACTTGCAGCTGTTGTCTCCACACGTATTTAAAATGTGGACAGTTTAATTAAATTGATGCCTCTAGTAATGTATAACTACAGTTTTAATCTATGACGGTGAAGATAATAAAGGAACTACTTTTTGCACCCTTGTGATTGCCTGATCGTTGATGAGATCTCATCAGTACTGTGTTCTTTTTAAATGTGTTATCCATGTTGTCCATTTTTTTATTTTTAAAAAAAAAAATGTTCTACATCATTTAAAAGGTATCTTAGATATATGCTTTCAGTACATAACAAAAGAAAAGCTAGGTTTCCTGTTAAGAACAACCACTGCTGTGTAGTGATTCTCCATTTTTGTTTCTGCTGGTTATAAATCATTGCAAATGTGGAGCCCCTTGCATTCTAGGTGTCCCTGATCTGAGTGATAGACATAATAAAGACACCCCACCATTGTAGATTCACTGTAATCAGCTGATGTGGTGTCAGATTGGCATGTGTTTTGCACGTGGGTGCTCACCACCTGCACCGGAACACATCAATCACCACATGTCGTGTTTGAAATGTATTCTTCTGCTTAGTTATCGATACTTATAGCTCATGCATGCCGTGTACCGGGTGTGTTTTTCCTGCTCGTCGTTATGTAATTCCACTCTCCGCTGCCTCTTTTGTTATAAGCGGGACAGCGTGACGTCATCATCTAGCTCGGGGAAGGGTCTGAGCGGCTCGCGCGGCTGCTGCTGCCTCCAGTCCAGCGCACGGGCGACAAAACAAACAGCGGCGGTGCGTTAGCTTAGCTAGCTGCGCTCTGAAAAACGGAATAGACCTCTTGGTTTAAATATACTATTGCATGTGTGAGTGTGTACAGATAAGATAGTGCACGTTGAAGCACTGACTTGAACATTTTTATGAATCTCGCCCTGCTCGCTAGGCACCATGTCAGACGCTGCTAACGCTACTTCTACAGACAACAACGGAGACTCCGGGCTAAACGGTGAGCAAAATGTTACCAAATTACTGGACTGTAAACGCCTGTCAGTGTGTTTACTCTACAAATAACGAGTCAATATAAATTAATGTGTGTTTATAATACGTTTGTTGAAAGTTTTTAATCGTTAAAGATAGTTTTTTCTGCCCTTTTATCCTTTTTTCTTCGTGTACATTGAAGGGGAGACGTGGAACGCAATGTTCAGTGTGTTTATGAAAGTGAGGGAACCAATAGCGTTGAGACACGCTTGACTGATGTGTTGCTAAGCCAATCAGCGATTCACTCGGAAGGCTGAAGGCGGGTTTAAGCTTTGTCAACAAGGCGAGATGGAAGAAGTCAGAACCATGGATGGTCAGAACAGGCAAAAACTGGGATGGACATACATTAAGACCATTTACACGAAGTGGCTGTACTATACAGTCCGTAATATCGTTAGAAGCAACATAAATCTGCGTGAAAGTTACTCGTTTGGACATTTTATTTGAAAAAACTAATAAGGGATTTCTTAATCAATTTCTACATACATTTCCATTAACAAAAATGCGTTCACTTCATCTTTTACAAGTGTGTGGAAATGTCTCACCTGAACAGTTGTTGGGATCAACTACATGCATGAACTAGGCTTGCATAAGCCATTAGAGACGTAAACAAAGGCATGTTTATGAGCCTGTCGCACTGACTCAGGGGCTTAACGTTGCTTTGAGAGCTGCCATGGTTAAAGTTTTACCACACTATGGGGGGTCGTGACTTGGCATGCTATTTATGGCCACAGTGACAAGAGGACGGACGTTTTGGACGTGAGGAAAGGAAGGGAAAGTGTTACAGCACTGCACTGTGGGAACATGGAGGCTGCTTGATTCAGAGCCACACTGTAATGGGCAGGACTCAAACTTTTCCAGCCACTTTATGTATTTCAAGAGACACACACGTTATTATTTTCTTAGGATCGGATAGCCAGTGATGGAAAGTTGTTGTTGGACGAGATGGAACGTTTTTTTAAATTATTATGTTCAACTTTGGTTTGCAGACTTTTTAGACGACTTCAACTTTAGTTATAAATACTTTGTCTGCATTTTATGCCAATTAAAGGAAAAGGACTGGACAAATCCTACAAATATTACACAATGTTCAGACATATTTATTGTGGTATAGGGCTCCATAATCCCTTTGCTATCACAACATTTACCCAGCACTATTGTTGATTAACTTACTTTGACGTTTGATTTAAAGACGTACATATTACATCTGACTGTGACAGAATAACTTATAATAACTTAGGAGTGCAGCAATATGTTGGTACTGAGGTTAATGTGTTATTTTAAAAATGTATATCTTAATAATAGACATATGATAGTATTGTGAAAATACTCCATTGCATGTTAAGCATATATTCTTCACTCATATTATGTGTGATTATTTTTGCTAAAAAGTGACAATAAACAAAGTTGAAGATGAATGTCTAAATATTTTTGTAATAATATTATTATAGTGAATTGTTCTGGCATTGATATACTTGTAACGATCTGATATCATGTCTGCAATATTATGAAATTGTTTTGGTGGCATTGTTGCACCAGATATGAGACTGTACAGAACATGTTTCGGGACAATAAGACCTTGCAGTGATTAGATTCAGAGCCAGCAGTGTGCTCTGTGTTATCTGAGACTTATGTTATTTCTGGCGTTTCCTGGAGCTCTCACACTACAGTCATTTTTATTTCATTCCTGGGATCTTCAGGCATCCTCTGACCCTCCACCCTCCTGTCCGAGCCTCAGAATCAGTAACTCAAAGAGGTCTCACCCCGTCTGCCCCCTTTTAAACCCGGCCAACAGCTGACGGCTGCTCTGTAACCAGAATATTCTGAAGCTTTCGCTCATGGCCGTGTGGTTTTAGTCCCTGGAGCGTGGACAATGGGCTGTCGCCGGCAGCTTGGCTTGCTGTCCGGTGATGTGTAATCCGCAGTGAGAGCAAGTGCTGAGTCGGGGTCAGTTCCAGGGGGGAGGGTTGCACATTAGGGTAGCGGGTATAACTGGCCTAATGCCTGAAATGTTTAAAAATGGAGTCCACTGAAATCCCCTGTTAACACAGTGTTTAAAGAAGGCCTTCATCTTCATTTGAGTGAGGAAATCAGAATATCTTATTTATCCTCATGGAAATTGGGTTTCCTTGCTTCATTTTAGAATTAAATAAAAAAAATAAGAGAATATTTCTATAAACATAAGAAGTAAAGTATCACATAGCTAAACTAAAATAGCACATAATATTTAAATAAACATAAGGGAAGGAACATGTCCAATATTTATATAAACATAAGAAATTAAATGAAAAATGTGCAATTCAAAGTCAAATAAAATAGAAAGAAATCATATTTAAAGAAATAAGATGCTAAAGCTAAATTGTGCAACACATTTTTTGTACAAGTATTTATATAAACATAATACATTAGTAAAGTAAATTGAGTAAAAAAAGATCTGATGACATTTTATTAGGATATATAAACATGAGAAGTTAAAGTGAAATATAAAATAATAATAAAGATATATTATTTAACAAACATAAAGGGAAAGTAAAAGTGTGCACATAGGAGGCGTGTGGTGTAGTGGGTTGTCCGTTGGTGTTGGGATCAGGGGGTCATATGTTCAAACCCCACTGCAGTCAGCATGTCGTTGTGTCCCTGAGACACTTCACCCCAAATTGCTCCTGTGGGGATTGCCCACAGTATTGAGTATGTAAGTCGCTTTGGATAAAAGCATCTAACAAGTGACATGACATGTAATGTAATGAGGAGAAAGTGTCTTTAAAAGCTGCACAAAAGGAATCTTAGGAACGTTTCTCCCTGTTTCCAAAGTGTGTTAACCCCCCTCTGACGTGCCGGCCCCTCCAGGCTGGAGCTCACGTACCAGCAGGCCGGGCGTCATATATCACGATGTCTACAACACTCCTCATACAGTACAGCAGGCCGTTACCTCCGTCACACAGAAAGAGATTTAGTCTTGAACTCGTCTCACTGACAGGATCAGGATGTCTGCCTTGTTCTCAGCTTAGGACCAGGAAATCATTTTGACATATTTGGTCTCTTTCTGATCCCCCTATTTCTCGTTGGCTTAAGAGACTTACTTTACTACTCCTGGCTGTAACGCCACTGTTAAAAAGCAAACAATGTTATGTCCAATATTTGACTGCTACTCCACTTACGTTCCACTTCCACTTCCACTTATGTTCCACTTCCACTTCCTTATGTTTTAGATTTTGATTCTGAGTGCTGATAGATATTGTGACATGTCATAGTCGGTGCAATTATATCATTTATTATGTTTGCAAATCCATTTATCTCATGGTTCTGACTAAAACGATGTGTTCTCTCACTGCTATATTGAGACACAATGTAGGTAAAGAATAAATGAATTACAGAGCCCGGGGAGGGTTTCAAGAAGAGATTCAAGTGGTACATTAATGAGAAGATACACATTAAGGATTGTTGGCACCGGGGTTGTGTCTAAACCGGGAAACAGGGACGCTGCTCCCTCTTACTTTTGGTGTGTTTCCTCATACCAAAATATAGATTTTCCCTGTAAAATGTAAAAGTAATGCCAGAAAACAAAACGTTTGTTTGTCAAAAACTGTATAATTACTCCAGAAAAAATGCCGTCAGACAGCTTTGTTTTTACAGAGCTCCGACGTATCTAATATATTTATAATGTATATATAATGTACTCCATCATCTCCATAACAAACATAAAGTAAGAATCTCTCACGAAAATATACAATAAAATACAAATATTGTTGTAAACATACTAATTTAAAGGAAAAGGATGAAAATCAAAGTCCAAAATATATTGTTTGAAAACAATGTTTAGAACCTTCTTGCTTGCGTGCTTGAATTTATTTGTCAAATCTTCTGACGTACACGATGCGATACACCACAGTGAGAAAGGACGTAGTTAAACGATGCTTCCAACTTGCTTTCTTGTGATTCGTGGCCAGTGTCAGTAAATATCCGGCTCCTCGGGGCATATCAGATGCTGCCCCGAGGAGCATCTGGTGCTCTGAGCAGGAAATTGGCGTATTCGTTTATTGACACGACTTCACGCTAGATCCTTCTTATGAGCTGACCCTGACACTTGGATCCCGGCATGTGACTAATGTTTATTTATATACGCAAAGTCACAAAGTCTTGCAGTTTCATTTCATTTTCAGATGAAGCAATACTTTTGTAAGATCTTTGCAAGTACACATTTAGGTTTTACTTTATTTAATAATGGTTCTCTCCCAAAATAGAAAAAAAGAGAAAACAACCCAGGAATGTAATTAATTTAGTGTTTACATTTTTTTATTAATAACAAAAATATGAAACATTCGCAGCAAGGACAGAGGTGGGATAAAAACTGTGTCTGTTGTCTCTCCTCAGGGTCCTGGGTGGAGTTGGAGATGAACAGAGGCTCAGCGGGGGCCCCCCAGCCCTCGTCCCCAGACATCGTGGCTCCCAGCCTGCTGCCCCCCCCTCAGGTGGAGGAAGAGGAGGCCATGGTGGGGGGGCTGGAGCACGTCCCATCCTCGTCCTCCATCCACAAGGGAGACATGGAGAAGATCCTCCTGGACGCCCAGCACGAGTCCAGCCGCAGCAACTCCTCCTGCGACAGGTTAGTGTTATGGCGCATTTCCACTACAGCGCGGTTTAAGCGTGCCGTGCCCGGCCCGTTTTTGGTTGCGTTTCCACTTGGCGTAGTTCCGGTGTTGCAGTATAAGTTGAGTCATGACAACTGGCGACATTCTATTATTTTCGTCATAGGAATCCGGGGCGGGTACATTGAGGACCCATTGTTGACTTACCAGGAAAGAAACATCGTTTGTCGTTTACGTTCATCTTTTGCTATATCTGCCTTCCTAAGATCACTTTGCTGCACATTCAGTACTCGTATGTGAGGTTGTGGGTGAGAGGCCGATATCGTGACGCTTACAGGGAGGTATCGAACATTACAAAGTAGGTGACTGTGTGGATGCTGTTCAAAACATTGCAAACTCAATCTAAAATCATTTAAAGATTATTATTTGTGTCCGAACTTTCAAATTTGTTCTCGTTCTTAATGTGATGTATAGTAGCTTTGATAAGGGCTGTCCATAAAAAAAACTTCAGCAGCCTAAAAAGTAAAGACACAAGTTGTTTATCTCACCAGCCCGAAGGCTGCATCGAGATGACTGGATCAGTCTGACCAAACTTGTGATCAGCTCCGATTCAAAATTGTGATATCAATTATGTAGGCTAACCTCCCAAGGGAGACGTTTATTTTAGAAATACCTGTTCCGCTCTCATCACATAACAAGACTCTACAATTGTGCAGGAAAACAATTACAATAAAGAGAGCATGAGAACAACTAACCCGTCTGATGCATGGGAATNGTGTTTTACTTTTAGGCTGTCTGAAGGTATGGACAGCTATCAAAGCTACTATACATCACATTAAGAACGATGAACAAATGAAAGTCGGACACAAATATATAATTTAAATGATTTATTGAAGTTTGCAATGTTTTGAACAGGCATCCACACAGTCACCTACTTTGTAATGTTCGATACCTCCCTGTAAGCGTCACGATATCGGCCTCTCACCCACAACCTCACATACGAGTACTGAATGCGCAGCAAAGTGATCTTAGGAAGGCAGATATAGCAAAAGATGAACGTAAACGACAAACGATGTTTCTTTCCTGGTAAGTCAACAATGGGTCCTCAATGTACCCGCCCCGGATTCCTATGACGAAAATAATAGAATGTCGCCAGTTGTCATGACTCAACTTATACTGCAACACCGGCTAGCGGGTACTTTTTCACAGTTTTCTGGCTCTCCAAAATCGAGGTTCTTTCCGGGCCAACAACCGGGCTGAGTATGCTAAACTAGTGAGAGAATCGCTGGCAACTACAAAAAAATGAACATATTTGACCATGATTTAATTTTAATACACGTTTCAAAATGATGCCGAAGTAACAACATACTGATACCGGTTAGTAAAAACCATGAATTAATGCTTTGGCAAGTCTGCAGACAGACGGCAGGCGGAAAACCTTTTAAAATGCGTGTTTTCTGAATGGAGCTTGGCTAAGCTAACGCAGTATGCTCCGACCGTCCACTCACAACAACGGCCTAAACAGACATAAATAAACCAGCGACTGTATTCGCCATGACACAGACACGCCTACACTGCGTTACTATAGATACTACCCCAGTTCCTAAACTGTAATGGAAACGCAGCATAAAGTGAGCCTGGCCTACCAAGGCCTAACGAGGCCTAGCCATACCGTACTAAGCCGAGCGAGGCCCTGCAGTGGAAAAGCGCCATTAGAGGGGAACAATACAGATGTTACACTGCATTGTCTCATTTGTTTACTCCCGTAACATAGTGACATCACTATGTAACACTCGCGCCTCTATTGTCTAGGGCTCCAACACATTGTAAATGATAGGCTATATCTCCAAGTGGTTGACCAATCACAACAGAGCCGGGCCAGCCAGTGGACCAATCAGAGCAGACTGGGCTCTGGTTTCAGACAGAGGGTGAAAAGAGGTGCTGTTGATAAATCAATTTAGTTAAAACTCCAAGTGGTCTTAAAATGTATGGAAAGGGTCTTAAAAAAGGTTTTACATTTGACTTCAGGATTCCTGCATATACCCTGCAATAATAAAACAAATGTATTCATTTAAAAAACCCTAAACTGCATAACTATGGTAGAAAAAAGGTACTTATGTTGATTAAAAGTCAATGTAGTATAATATTCTTTCTTTAACGGCTATACTCATGAAAAACAGGCTTTACTACTTCCTTATCTTCTTGTTATTGAATGTGGATGAGAGCACAGGAATTTGCTCATGCTTGAGGAATTTGAAGAAAGTCATGAGTTGTGGGGTTATACGACTCCGTGTTCATAGGGGCCGAAGATATGGGGCACGTGGTGGAGATGCTTCCTGTCCCTCATGACTCCTTCAACAGTTACATCTGAACCTAAAGCCAAAATAAAATCACTTCCACGCTGTGAGATTATTACCCTGCATTCAATATAAAAACGTTCCTTTTTTCTTTGAACTTCAGTGTCTTCTTCCAGCGGGAAACAGAGCAGAGTTTATGTGTGTGTGAAGGAAAGTAAAATCCAAGGCTATTCAAATTGATCCAATCTGGTCCTTTTACAACAGTTCGGGTCTTTTATTGTGAAAAATTAGATGCAATTAAATGGATACTTAGAGGAAAACTACTTAAATATAACTTGTTGATCAGATGCTTTCACCATTTCCCCCCTTTTCATCTGTCACTGTGAAAAGTGCAGTGTTGGAAGAAGTACTCAGATTTTAGACTTATCAAACTGTACTTATACTTACACAAAATTGTATAAATGCTGTCTTACAATTATCATTCCTGCATTCAAACCCTTTTTTAACTACCAAAAGTAAGCTAGGAGTAGTCCTTAAACATAATGGTCTATTTCAGATACTTTATATAATTACTAGATTATGGTTATTGATGTATTAATGTTTGTCAGCTATCTCAGTCTATCTACAGCTAATTTTACTTACTTTATACTCTGCTCCAGGATATTTGAACGTAACATTTTATGTCAACGTTTCTTTTTTTTATTGATTTATATTTGTATTCTCTATTAGCTAATAATTTCAATCTGTAACTAAAGCTATGGAATAAGTGTAAAGGAGTAAAAAGATAACATTGGCTTCTAAAATGTCATGGAGTAGAAGTGTAAAGTAGCATAACATTCAATAACATATAGTTAAAGTACAAAAAAGGGGGGCCTCCACTACTGGGAAATTGAAAAAAGAGAGACATATACTATTGGTCGCTTTGAAACCCCCTAACTTTCATTAATATTCCAGTTGTAAATCATTCAATCATCAGTGGGCTTCTCTTTCGTCGAGTCAGCTTTGACAGCTGCCTAAGAGCTGATTCAACTTCTCAAATTAAAAACCTTAATGCAGCATGCCTCCCATTTTCGAAGGCACGTTAGAAACATCCTGACCCTTCGACCTCCGGCCACATCCCAGAGCCTGTGTGTTATCTTCCTTCGATAAAAAGAGCTTATCAGAGGCAGCTGCCAGTGAGTCACCTGAGGATGTTTGAGAGGGGAACGCTGTGTCAACAACACGCTGATCTGGAACAAGCTGCGACACAAACATCAGCGTGGCACAATTTGAACACAACAGGGTGTCACATTACACAGATTGAATTAGGGAAATGTCCTGCCATGAAACACAATCACCTGAGAGTGCAGGAGCAGCAGGACTTAATGCTGTGTAACACATCACACACTGTTCTAATCAGGGAGTTGTGATGTCAAGCCTTCTCACACAGAATCTTAAAGATGGAATATGTGTTGAATGCCTATGTGAAGCACTTTGAATTGCCTCTGTGTCTTAAAATGTGCAAAACAAATAAACTAACCTTGAACCTTAAAGGGGCAGCTACATCACTTTTTAAGTTTATCTTATATTTGTATGTGTTCTTACATTTTTTTAATTTCTCATATTTCATTCTAAAGTGGACCAACCGTCACCAGACCCAATTCCCACGGGATACATGAAGTCCTCTGGTTCTGATTGACTTCCACCTCAAGGAGTACTGAGCTCACCTCTAACTAGTTCTCTGATCTGTGTTTTTCCGCAGCCCCCCGCGGCCCCACAGTCCTCAGGATGACGGACAGATCATCTTTGACGTGGACGTGAGCGGCAGAAGAGACAGCCTGGTAAGAGCTCCTTCCCTTCCTCAGGTTCTTCCATCAGTCTGTTGTCATGGCAACATCAACCACCGGCCCCGAGGTGCACAAGCTATCTGCCATAAGTTTCCATGGAGATAGCTGCCGCGCCCAAAGTGGATTCCTGCTTTCCTTTTTACAGTGTTGTCAGTGTTGTCACCATTACTGGACTTAAAACATGCATAAATATACACAACATGCCATATTTGTATTTTAATAAGTGTGTGTGTGTGTGTCTCTGTCTCTGTCTCTGTCTCTGTAGTCAGAAGAGGACCCCCTGGAGAAGGAGAGGGACCTGGACATCCTGATGAAGGACGCAGACTGGGTCGCTGATTGGTCCAGTCGACCGGAAAACATTCCCCCCAAGTAAGTCTCTACTCTGCAACGTGATGTTTCCATGGCAACTGAACACACACAGCTGACTGTTTGTCCAGAGGAGGCGGTTAGTCGTTACAGCGATTAATACGGTCTGAAGCACAGATAAAACAGCAGCTGTCAGAGGCTGTGAATAAACCTCTGATGCTGACGACGTGTCAAGAGTTGATTGTTAACCGAAAGTTTAGCATTTTCCCAGAATCCTCAGCGCTGTGTCTAAAGCGACTTTGGTGTTTGCAGGGAGTTTCATTTCCGTCACCCTCGACGCTCCGTAACTCTCAGCATGAGGAAGACGGGGGCCATGAAGAAAGGAGGAATGTTCTCCGCAGACTTCCTGAAAGTCTTCATCCCCTCGCTGCTGCTATCACACATCCTCGCTCTGGGGCTGGGGTGAGAGACACACACACACATCACCTTTTCCCCCATATTCAGTGGCATAAATCACCAGTAGGGGGAGCTGTTTATCTGTGTGTGAAGTGTCAGAGCACCTGCTGTCTCACAGTGAGCTGCTCCAGATTACACATGTTATAATCACCCTAAATCAGATAATGTCCCAGCAGTGATGCCTTCAGGCTCTCCTCCTACGAGACGCTGAATGAGAGTCATCAACTAACCTGTCATCCTCACAACGTCTCTGTTGGCCAATCTATTCTGTTACATATCAGCTGTGGTGCTTCTCTATGAACTGTTCATGAGGGTGCTTAGGATAATGGATATCTGTCATAATCCTCCTTCATACACCAAACTAGTATTACAAAGGCACCTCATGTGATTTAGAAAGGAGTATGCTGGACCTTTTTAAAGCAAATCAAAGTTATATAACGTTAAATATCTGATATCTGATGTGTTTTATTGTAAGCACAAAAAACCCAGTCAAATTCCTTGTATGGGAATAGCATTCATCTTTATCCTGATGATTACAAATCAAATGTAAAAGTTAGATCTGTATGAACAAACATAAGTGTCATATTTTTTCATTACGTTTTCCACCCTTTTAAAAAAAATGGATGCTGTCTTGTTGTGCCTGCTTTAACAATAATTAAGTGGCACCCTCAGTGGCCTCGTAAAATATACATAACAGCATATTGATTTGAATTTCTATTGATCATTTTATGAAAATATACTCAACATTTGTGCTTAAAATGGATGGAAACTTGTCAATTGGGACTCTTTCCTAGCAGGAAAATGAATGGACTCTAAGCTGCTCTCCCCCCCCCTCCTTAGGGTCTACATCGGGAAGAAGCTGATCACCCCCCCCACCAGCTCCTTCTGAGGAGGGACAGAAGTTTAGTGCCTGAGGAGCGGCCATGAGATATTTCAGAAAGTGTTGCTGTCGTGAGAAGAACGTCCCGTCTCTTCTCACCTCTGTCCCGCCTGCTCCCCCCCCCCCTCGTCCCTGAGATGTGTTCTCAAGAGGAATGCA